AGACGCAGGAACAACCTGAGCAATACAATAATTATTAAAACCCAGCAGTTTTAAAATTATTAAAATGCAGTAGTTAAAACTAAAGGGCAGTATGATTATCGGGGTTCTCCACCAATAAATGTCAAACTGACAACTGGATGACTGTATCATGCTAAATTTAAAACACCCTATATACTTGCCTTATGAAGCCAAAGTAAGTCTTCCTTCTTAGGCTATCATTCCTTTTAAACTTAGATTCAACCCCATGATGCACTTTCTCCTGCCATTTTTGTGAGCTTTTAGGCATCCTGGCAGCTTCAGTGACCACTGTGGAATAAACTGTGATGGCAGAATTCAATCTGCGTTTAATAAAAAGCCAGAATGCTGGACTTCGCAAAATATAGTTGCATTTCTGGGCATGAAGATTAGAAATTCACAACTGCTCCTCTGAAGTAATTTTTTACTATTTTGTTGATACTTTCTCCTCGACACTGAAAAGACAAACATAACAACTGAAACCAACCAGTTACTCACACAGCAGCCCGATCTGATAGCTTCAGTACAGCCTCTACTGGACTTCCCTGGTATAATAAAGCTGAAAATCTACCCCACAGCAGAGTCTGCATTCAACTTCTCGTTCCAAAGATACCGCCACTCTGCCCAACAAAAGGGATAAATCAGCTTTGTCCCTCGAGTCATGACTAATTTTTTTAAATGTTGCAGCAACTTCAGATCTTACAATTCAATAAATGCAGTGACTGGCTCAGCCTCTTAGAACAGGACTGTGTCTGGCTCAGAGTGGAAATCCTCACACTTGAGGAGGGTGCCTGAGTCCCTCACTGGGCAGCCTGACAGCCTCATGACATGGATGGCCAGTCAGAAAGTCCACGTTAGCATAAGAAACTGTCCGATAAGGTCAAGCACAAAAACACGGACTAGGAGACTTCCATCTACTCTTACAGAAACGCAAGTCAGACAGAATTTGTGGAAGGCATATTGAAATCCAATACAGATTCCTCTTCCATTTCCATTTTGGAAGATACACTTGCCTACACAAAAACCATGAGGCTGAGAGTGTTGGGTTTTCCTTAATGTTACGAAACAAGTTAGTGGCAGCTGTCACTCCCCTCTCTGTGCTATCAGGGGACCTTGTACACTCCCTTGGCAACCGTTTCTCTCATGTTCCAAGCAGCCCCTGGCAAAGAAAAGGAACTAAAAGATACTTCCTCCCAGTACAACAAATGAGACTGTCTTGCCATACATCTCCACCCCTTTTAAACCAGCAGTTTGAGTACCACCCTCACTAGTGAAAATTTGGGACATTTTCATAGTCCCTAGAAAACTGCTCTGTCATTTCACTTTTGATGGTCTAGATTTTTTCTTTTTTCCTTCAAAATTGTTTCATTATTTAGGAGGAAATGGCTACTGTAAATCCAACAGAGAAATGGTTCCTGGTTCGAGAGACGGTAAAAACATATATGCTCAATTCAATGAAAAGAAGTGGGTGATGAATTGCTCAAAAAACATTCCTGGACTTCCCTGGTGGCGCAGTGGTTAAGAATACGCCTGCCAATGCAGGGGACACGGGTTCGAGCCCTGGTCCGGGAAGATGCCACATGCCACAGAGCAACTAAGCCCGTGCACCACAACTACTGAGCCCGCGTGCCGCAACTACTGAAGCCCGTGCGCCTAGAGCCCATGCTCCGCAACAAGAGAAGCTACCGCAATGAGAAGACCGCGCACCACAACAAAGAGTAGCCCCACTCGCCACAACCAGAGAAAGCCCACGCACAGCAATGAAGACCCAACACAGCCAAAATTAAAAATAAATAAATAAATAAAAATTAAAAAAAAAAAAAACCCCAACATTCCCACTTTCTTAAGTAAATTCCCACATTAGTACATTTTGGTTTTCTTTTCCTAAAAAAAAAAAAAAAAAATAGTGCACAACAGAAGAAAAACCAATTAAGTTCAAAGTTAGGATAAAAAGGAGCCCCAAGTGCCTTAGCAAGGTGATATTAACCCTTTAATGGCCAGCAAAGGTTTTTCAATTCATTCTCAAAGAAAATTTCCAGAGACCAAGAAGCTAGGTTTTGGGCCTTAGGGATTGCTAATATGCCTTAGGGATCTGCTAATAGAGCAAACACCAAACGGTGCTTATTACGTGGCTGGAACTTTTCAAAATACATTTAATTTTTATAAGTCTACTGAAATAAGTGCTATCATTATTCCCACTGTACAGATGAGGAAACTGAGGCACCAAGAAATTAAATTAATTGTCCAAAGTTAAGCAGCTGGTAAATGGCAGAACCATGACTCAAATGCAGGCGCTCTGACTGCAGTCTCTCATGGAACCGCGGTGCTGGGCTGCCTCTCCTGCAGAGTCCTCTCTGTACACCAGATGACAGGCAGGGAGACCACAGGTCCATATTTATAATAATCCATCAGAAAAGCTTCTGTTATGAAATAAAATCCAGGCCTACCTAAACAGGAAACACACTCCACATAAACTAAAGCAAGCCTATGTTTTCAAGATGGTAGACTTACTGAGTATATCTACCTCCTCTTATTCCTCAAATCTCATTGATATGACAGAAAATTTTAAAGAAAAACAATAAACCATGATGGTGTAAGACAACAGGCAAAAGTGATATCAGTTAAAAATGGACTGATGTGGAAAACAGAGCAGAATAATCACAACTAAAATCAGGTATAAAAGAGGTTTGCTACAGAGATAAGAACTACTCTTCCTGATGAAACAAAGTGTAGCAGAAAGACAAATCTTTGAATTAAAAAGTATATGGATGGGGTTTCTGGAACTATCACCAGGGTGATTTGTTAAATGATGGCCTATAGCACTTGTATTTAAGAACAGCTCTCTTTCAGCCTCCAAGCACGGGCCTTCCCAAGAAACACAGAGGAAAAGAAAACCAGCAAAGGCACCTCTACCCAGGACTGCAATACAGTAAAGTGGTGTTCCATGCCTACAGCGAAACCTTCCCTGTGGCAACTGTGGGGACCGCAGCTCAGCCTCACCCTCACCGTCCACGCTGAGCTGCCTGCTTGTGAGCATGCCCAGCCCTGCAGGGAGCCTTTGCAATTAGGGAAGAGTCCTGTTACTGAAACAGTATTACAGAACTTCTGAGGAAATCTCGAGTAATTAACCTAATCCTATATTTAGAAATATGAAAGGATCACCAAGGATCAAAACGACATAAAACTCAAAGAACTAGGATGAAAGGTAACAAGTCAAAGTTAATAGAAAAAACTGACATTGGAATTACAACAAATTCTCAGTTATCTATACCAATGGATGATTTGAGGTATAAGAACCCTCAAAACTATTTGCAGCTGGCAGTGAAAATGTCTTCTGATTTCTATTACAGCAGATTTATCACACAAGGAAAATTATACATAGAACTTTTATTCTCTAAGGATATAAGCACTGAGACCAAAATTCTGGCCCTACTCTAAGTCCCTTATTTTATGGAGCCTTGCGCAAATTATCACTTTTCTGTATTAATTTTCCAGTATATTAAATGGGGACAATATTTTGTCCCATTTGCCTCAAAGAAATGTTTTAACAATCAAAAAAGAAAAAGTACCTTAAAAAATTTGGGGGGGGCGGGGCTTCCCTGGTGGCGCAGTGGTTGGGAGTCCGCCTGCCGATGCATGGGACACAGGTTCGTGCCCCGGTCCGGGAAGATCCCACATGCCGTGGAGCGGCTAGGCCCGTGAGCCGTGGCCGCTGAACCCGCGTGTCCAGAGCCTGTGCTCCGCAAAGCAAAAAGCACCATACAAATGCAAGGTGACACTGTTAACTGAAGACAGGCTGCATACTGGGAGCACATGGAATCCAGCCTAGGCTGAAAGGTTTGCAATGGACAGTCCACAGGGTACCTTTATAGAATCTATTTCCTAAGACAGGCCGATTTACAGTCAATCGTTCTTGGCTACTTTCTAGTAGTTAGAATGACGCCATGTTGTCCTCTTCAGGAGAAACTGAGGAAAAGGCCCCCTCTTTTGTCAACTGATTCAAAAGAACACATTCTGAATTCTGCAGAGTCTGGGGTAAGACTGAATAAATACTGCTAGGACTTCAACTGTTAAATCCAAGGAATCAAAGAAATACTGCCAGTAATTTAGTCATTTGAGGGCACTGCTCACCAACAGATACCACATATGCAGCTCGAACAGTCAGTCGGACTTATATAAGTTGAAGACATGGAGAAGTTTGAACGAGACAGGCTTTCTTGGCAATCAGGTTTAAGGACTTACTAAATACATAATATATTTATTAAATAACAGCTACATTCCAAATATTAGACAAAGCAACTTGCTGTACTAACAAGTCCAGACCATCCTCAAAAGAAGCAAAAACTGGTAAAACACATTTACAATCACTGGTACAACAGTAATATGAACAATCATTGTTAAACTAGAATAGTAAGATATCAAGTACGTCAAAATGATATGCATATAAATCACATGACATAAGAAAAACAGAAATACTCCATAGTGCTTTGCAAGTTGAGGTTTTAATAGGGTTCTTCATAAACATTATTAAATTCTCTATTAAAATTTGCTTTCCATTAAAAGTAAGAGATATTGCAATCAAATATCTGGCCCTTGCTTGGATTGATTCACATAAATCAGTCATGAAAATTAAACTTATGAGATAATTGGGAAAATTCAAACACTAGCTGGATATTTGATGATAAGATATAATAATGGCATTGAATTATTAAAAACAATAGTGGTAGCCCTTACCTTTCATAAATACAAACTAAAGTGTTTGTTGATAAAATGATGTGATGTCTAACATTTATACTAAACGAATACGAGGTAGAGGGTTGGAGTATAGATGAAAGAAGTCTGGCCATATGTGAGTTGATAACTCTTGAAGGTGGGTACTGGAATCACAGGAGTAATTACATTATTTCCTCTATTTTTATATACAGTTGAAGTTTTCATAATAAAAAATGCTTTAAGTATACAAATCAAAGGTGACTCATTCTTACCTCTGCTAGAATCTTTTATTACAATGTCAGAGATTTCAAACAGTTTCAGAGGAAGGGGCATCTTCCGATTCGCAGCTATGGTCTTTAGGAGGCCAGGAAGAAGGGTAGTGCGTGCCACCTACAGGAGAAGACATGAAATTGCACTGACCAAATAGGAACCAGACATACTTGGTTATTAATCCATGGTCTCACAGGAAGACACTTCTGGAAAATGCAATGCCTAAATATCCAAGTCATTTTTTATTTTTAATTCCAGTACTTCATATCCTGCTTCATTTCACAAAGTAATTGAAGTAAATTACAAGAAATACAAATATTTAAACAGTTTTAACATGAATTAACCAAATTTTAAAAAACCAGGACCAGGGAAAAAATGTAAATGCAATTAAAATACCAGGACAATCAGAAAAACAGAACACAAATACGTAGGCACTAAAAACCCACACAGCTGCTATGGGCAGGCTGTGACTACAGTTTTCAGCTTAGTAGCCAAAACAAATAGGAAAATGTATAGTTATTTCATTCTTAATATTCATAAGAAATACAAATACACATTCCAATTCTTAAAAAAAAAAGGGCAAAACTTCCCCTTTTGTCTGTGAAATAAATTTCTCATTCTAAGCTGTATGAGATACGTTAGCTTCCAACACATCATGTTACCAGAAGGTTTTATGAGCGACGGTATTACATCTGCAGTCAAACTCCAACACCATTATCTTTTGCCCAGACTCTGCATGAGTTTCCTAGGATGATTTCTCTGCTTCTACTGTGCCACCTTATGATCTATTATTCTCCCCACAGAGTGACCCTTTAACACCTAAATCAGATCACAGAACTCTCCTGCTCAAAAACGTCCAATGGACTTCCATCAGATTTTGAATAAAACCATGCCCTACATGGGGCTTTATGTGAATCTGGCCCTAGCCCCCTCTCCAACCCCGACGCCTGCTGCTCCCCCGGTATACTGCGTGTGCTCCAGCCACATGCTGCCATCAGGATCCCGTCCCAGGCCTCCACACGTGCTCTTTCCTCTGCCTCATACATTCTTCCTCTAGATTCGTATGTAGCTATCTTACTTCCTTCAGGTCTCTGCTCAAAGGTCTACATGGTCCTACATGGGCCTGCCCTGCCCACCCTGGCTAAAACAACAGCCCCTCTTAGATCCTGCACACGTAACATTAAGCCCTTAAAAGGACTTGCTAGATTGTGTTGAGGAAAGAAGAGAACACAGGGACCTCCCTGGTGGCGCAGTGGATAAGGCTCCATGCTCCCAATGCAGGGGGACCGGGTTCAATCCCTGGTCAGGGAACTAGATCCCACATGCATGCCACAACTAAGAGTTCGCATGCCACAACTAAGGAGCCCGGGAGCCACAACTAAGCAGCCCACCTGCTGCAACTAAGACCCAGAGCAACCAAATAAATAAATAAATATTAAGAAAAAAAAAAGAAGAGAACACCTTTCCTACTATATTCACTCTACCAGAAAGCTGCTATTAGCCTTCAACTCAGTGCTTTCTGAAATATGGGTCACTTTCCCAACCAGAGAGAAAGTGCCCAAACCATTCACAGAACAAAACTACGATGTCTAAGGAAAGCTTAACTTATTAGAATAAAAACAAGCCACTTTTGTAGATGACATTTTTAGGTTTTTTTTTTCACTTTGTTTTATAGATAAGATTTATTTATTTAAAAACTCACAGCAACACAAAAAATTAAACCTGAATCAGATCAAGCTCCTAGATCTAACTCCAATTTACTGAAAATATAGGGGACCACAGGAATATAGTCAGCAAAATCCTAAATATGAGAACTCTACAGGATAAGTGACCCAGTTTCTTCCACAAAGTGAAAGGGGGAGGGGGAGAGAGGGAGATAGGGAAAGAGATGAATGGTTGGAGGAGCAACCTGTGAATTAAAAGAGACTTAAGAAGCACATCAATCAACTTTAATGTATGAACCTCATTTGAACCCCAAATCAAATAAACTATTTTAAAAAAGACACCTGAGAAAATCTGAACAATAATTGGATATTTGAGGATATTAAGGAATACTATTGCTAATTTAGGGGTATATGGTAATTTTCTGTAATTGTGTTTACAATAATTATAGTAAAATTTTACATACTTCAGTAAATAACATTTCTCTTATTTCATCCATTCTCTAGTATAACTACTACCAGAAAATAGCCCAAAGTTAAGAATTATGCAAAAGAAAGAATAAGCTTAGACAATAAATTGAGATACAAGACCATGAACAACTTATACTTATTTTAACCATAAATAAATATAAACCTGTTAGCCACATTGGTAATGGTAGGACGTATCTGTTCATAAAGGAGGAGTAAAGTAGAGAACCTGTCAAATCTAAAAGACAGGCTCTCATCTCTTATGTATTTAATGCAGAAATACTGAGTCTTACATGTGCTGAGCCACAGCTATTTAGAGTGACATTTAATGTGTTACTGATTTGTTTTCCTTCCACTTATATAAAATAGATACGATGTAAACCCTAAAGAACATAACATTACCACATTGTAAGAAACCTATCAAGCTTGAGAAATAAAACTGGGAGAAAAAGAAACACTTGGAAAAAACTCAAATAAAAATCCATTAAGATTTACTAAAAAATTTCTCTATCCAAATGAATTTGAACATCTCTTATTAAAGAGAACACCTCAGACATCTTAGAAAAGCTAGTGGGCATCAGAAATCCAAATATAAAAATTATCACAATCCTTCTAAACTAGCGTAAAGATTCTTCAAAGTTCTGACACTGAATATGGAGAAAGAATTTATGTACTTGATGCATATTATTAGCAATTAGTTCTTTAGTCTAGCTCTAATCTGCCACATTAGTACGTAGCTCTATACATGAAACCTAACTTTAAAAAATCTAAATCTTAACATTTTTAGAACTTTTAGAATTTTTAGAAGTAATCCAGACACTACTTTTACAAAAGTGAAAACCAAGATCTAAAGAAACTATCTCAAATCAGAGTTCATGTATTATTTTATAATTAACTTTCTGAAAAGCATTTCCTTCCAATTCTAAGATTCCCCTTGATTCTAGAAGACATGATCTTCTCTAAAGCCTGTCTAAAAAAACACTGAAATGCATATACAAGGAAAACAGAATGAGCTTACTAGTATGAAAGAGATAAGATGATTCAAAGTCATTAATAAGCAAAGATATTATAACTTTGAAATGCTCTCTTTTTATAGTTAAGGTCCGAATCTATCATGTAAATCACTGAACGTTTACTATCAAGGGAGTATCATTCTCGTTTAAATATTCCTAACCTCCACATGAAACTGCCAATAAACTAGACAATGACAATGAAAGGCACAGTCAGCATAGTCCGGAACTGGCATAACGATTTATTTCAAAGTAAAAGACTTAATGGAGGTACTGGGAACAGGTGTAGTTTCACTTATTACAAATGGATAGAAAAGAGATGAAACCTGAAAATAGTATTAAAAAAAAAATCAATTGTGAAATGGAAAGTTCAGACAAGAAAGGCTGGGCTAGGTATAGGTAGCACAAAGCAAGTAAGAACCATCTATAAGGGTAATCAAGAAAAGATTATAAAATATTTAAAGAATTTTTGTCAGCAATGTATGTAAGAACCAAATATAAATCTATACAAGAAGAAATTCTAAAGAAGCTCTATGATTTTGCCATTTGAGATAAGATAACTGAAGAGACTTTTCATAACTCATGTACTGTCTCTCAGTTTTTACCCAAATTCTTAACTACTTAAAACTCTTACCTGAAATTCAGCTGTTTTAGGATTACTTATGAGGACTGCCTTTGTTGCAGAGATATCCAAACCCAGTTTATCAGCAATATCTTCTTGGGAGCACTAAGAAATACATAAAAATAGATCAATATGGAAAAGCAATGACTAAATCCAATATAAAAAAGTATTTAATGCTGTAACAACTTTTGATGGCCTCATGGCAATGTAGATTATATAAAGTAAGCTAAGAATAAGCTGAGAATAAACATATATCAATTAAATTCAGGTCCACAGCAGATGCAATTTAACATTAATAATTCTCTTACAATGAGTTCTAACCATGATGCAGAGCTAAAGTACATTTTTCACATGGAGCTGGTGGTATAACCTGTACTTGGGCCCCCCTAAGCTAGCCTCCCACTGACCTTACCAGTCGAGTCTGCTACAATCCCCTACTCATTCCCTGAACTGTATACTTTTCCTTACCTTTACCTGAAATGCCCTCCCTGCCCGACTTACTGCCACCCCATCCCCTGAAAGATTCTACTTAAAAGACATCTCTTCCACCACTTCCATAAAAATAACCCTAATGACTCCAGTCAGAAATTCTCTCTCCCTCCTTGGTGCTCATATGACTTTGTGTTTTGACTACTGTTGTAACCTCTGCAAAATCTGTACTGACTTGTGATAGAATGGTGGGACTAAGAGCAGAATTCCCATGGCCTCAACTACGTCACTTAACTTCTACGCAGATGTGCTTGATAAAGCTCTGGGTAATGAGCAAGCTCCTAGGCACTCACCCACCAAAAAGAGAAAGATGCCTGTCACCCTCAAAACCAGGATGGTAGGCAGAATTCTGAAAATAAAACTCAATGACTATGAGATAAAGCAAATACAATACCTGGCACAAACTAAGTGATCAAAAAATATTAATGATGATAACTAATGTCATTATTAAGAATAAACAATTATCACATATATTAATGTTAACGTTTGAAAGAGTTTAAAACTTAACATGAAAACTGATGTACCGTCAGTTACTCTTTTCTATTTTCCAACATTAGGTTGGAAAATAGAAAACTGTCCTCAGGACTAGTGGTCTGTATTTCACTTAGAAAAAAAGAATGGGTTTGGATGCCAATGCCAGTTTTAATGACTTCTGCCTTGCTCTTTCAGGAAGGATTCTGAAGACACATCCAGGCACAGCAGAAAAGAGCTCCCTGCACCGCCATAGCTACAGCAGTGGAGAATGGCAGCACGCATGCTGGGATAACCATTTTTTCCTCCATAACATGGAGGGGTTTTAATAACAAGATTTAGACATAATGTGACCAATTAGGAAATGCAATTTACATGATGCGATCTATTCTCAAACAGAACTAGTACTGCCTGTATCAAAGAAAAAGGGCCCACAGACACATGGCTACACAGCAAGGTATCTGAGTGACCTTGCACTTTATCATGATGATGGACCATAAGGGATAGAGGTAAGAAGCAATTTAAATCAGGTATCCTGAAGCAGCAGTAGCTGGTATACAGGATGGAATGTTTATAAGTGTTTTTATGTGTTTATTTTAAATAAACACATTTACTTGTTAGAAAAAATAGAATAAGTAAACGAAGCCCATAATTTTTACAAACATTATTCTTAAATAAGGCTGAAGTAGGTTTTTAGTTTTAAAAGTGAGCTAATTTAAATGAAAATATGACAACTGGTATGCAGATATAGCAAAAATCATGATGATGATATGTGAATTACTTACACCTGGGAAGTCAAGGGCTGGGTTTTAGGAAGAGAAGGGCCGCTACTCTTGTGCAAAACTAGATATAAGGCCCAGTGATGTTTAGGTTTGCTTAGAAAGTATGTAACTTTATAAATACCTTTCATGTTGAAATTCCTATAGCAAAACGGTTACTACAAATCTGAAACTCCCTAGCACCTAATTCTGACCCCCGCCCTGTCCCGACCCACTGTGATAAAGTGTTGAAGTGACCTTGGACAACTGAACAGACTGTTTCTGGCACTCGTGGTGGGACAGTTCAGTCACAGGCCTGGGGTACAGACAGACCTGTGCTGGAATCCCTGGTCCACAGCCAACTGGCTGTGCGAAGTGGGACAAGTTACCTCAATTAACTGCTGTGTAAGACAGAAACACCTACTTCACAGGGCTGCGCTGAGAGATGGAATCATGTACATAAAGCCCTTTGTGGAAGACAAACTCTCTCTGCAGAGTGGCTACTTGTCAGGAGGCAGTCCCCCTTAGATGCATGGGGCTACACAGTTACAAAATCAATTCCTTTGCCACTTAATTATAAAAAATAGAATACATTTCTAAAACAACAGAATACATTTCCTTGTGCTATTTTTTGTACATCAGTTCACGTGGAATCACTGCTGCTCCTGACTGCATATGCTTATGTGGGCCATATATGAATGACATGGTCCTCAAACCTAGCATTCAGTCTGACATAACAGAAAAGCACTCCTCAAGGAGTCAAAAGGCCAGATTCTGGTCATGGTTCTCCTGCTGTCTGTGTAAACTTTGCTGGGTACTTATCCTCCCTCGGCCTCCGGCTTCCTCACTGGTACAGTGCCTGGCATATAACAGATGTTCCATAAATGTTGTTGAATAAAAGATTTCTAAACCAGAAAAAGGAAGACGTCGGGACTTCCCTGGTGATGCAGTGGTTAAGAATCCGCCTGCCAATGCAGGAGACACGGGTTTGAGCCCTGGTCCAGGAAGATCCCACATGCTATGGAGCAACTAAGCCTGTGCACCACAACTACCGAGCCTGCGCTCTAGAGCCTGAGAGCCACACTACTGAGCCCATGTACCACAACTGCTGAAGCCTGCACGCCTAGAGCCCGTGCTCCGCAACAAGAGAAGCCACTGCAATGAGAAGCCCGCGCACCGCAACGAAGAGTAGCCCCCGCTCGCCACAACTAGAGAGCCCACTTGCAGAAAAGAAGACCCAACGCAGCCAAAAATAAATAAAATAAATTAATTTAAAAAAAGATTAGGGCTTCCCTGGTGGCGCAGTGGTTGAGAGTCTGCCTGCCGATGCAGGCGACACGGGTTCGTGCCCCGGTCCGGGAAGATCCCACATGCCGCGGAGCGGCTGGGCCCGATGAGCCATGGCTGCTGAGCCTGCACATCCGGAGCCTGTGCTCCGCAACGGGAGAGGCCACAACAGTGAGAGGCCTGCGTACCGCAAAAAAAAAAAAAAAAAAGATTAAAGAAAAAAAAGCAAAAGGAAGGTGTTGAACTAGATCTGGAAGGTCCCTTCCAGTAAGAACATCCTATGAATTACAAAGGCTCAATAAAGTGACGTGAGAGAGGCTACATCTCCTCACCAGCCCTCTATGTACTGGTCGTGATTCCCAGCACTGCCTTCTGTAAACACCTTAAAAGACTGAGACGTTTAGAGCTGGAATTGCGCTGGGGGGAGCTTTCCTGGTTGTTTTGGTTTTTGCCTTACATCGTTAAGGTGAAACGGACTTGAATAGTCAAGAAGTACACTGTGGGCACCATAGCACAGCTCAGCAAGAGAGAGAAAGAAACTACAAATTGCAGACACATTTCGATATCTTCAAATGCTCGATCTGCTGGGGGAGGGAGATTTCTGTCTGATTTTGTAATAAAACTCATTTCCTGACTTAGGCCTTTCATGTCAGCTTTTCAACTCAAAGCAAATGTCTGTGAACATGTTCAAAGACAAAGAAACAGGCTTAACGTGGAGCAGTCCACAAGCCCTTAACCAGGGCGGCATCTAGTGGGTACAGCCACAACCAAATTAAGACTAAAAATTCTAACTTAATAAATTTGGTTACGAACTTCATTGTGAACCCTCAACAATTACATGAAACTCTAAAATTTAGTCCTTCGTGCTTTTCTGTGACTAAAAAAAAGAAATCTTCATTTCTTTACCAGAAATTACACAATCTCAGGTAACAAAGTGTTCTTTATAACTTTTTATAAATTCATATAAGGAATCACAGAACAAGTAATTCGGAGATTCAAAGAAAGCAATGAGCAGGGCACCAAAAGCATGTATAACATACCAGAGCAAAGGTAAGTGCCTCAGTGAATCCAGCAGCTGCCATGTCGTGTCTCAGGAGTTCTGTGAGTTTATTTAGGGGAAACTGGGGGGAAGAAATTATTTCACCTCAATAAAATTTCCCACTTTTTTTAATTAAAAAAAAAGAGATTTATAGAAAACTTGTCACTTAAAGGAAACCATCCTTCCATCCTAATATGCTGCTCGTCCCACCATTTCCCCACCACACCGACCCCTCCCCATCACCACTACCCCAACACTCCTACCCAGACGTACAAACCCCCCGCTTCTACCCCTCCCACATGCCACTTCTGCCTTCAGGCCCAGGATCCGAAAATGAATCTCCCACTTAGAGATGCAAGAAGGGCGCCAAACTTGAAACCTGTCTTTCTTCAAAGAACTAGTCATCACAGGTTTTCAACGTACTCTAATCAATCGGGCATCTGTTTTGCATCCTCTCCACAGCAAATGCCTCTCAGAGCAGAGCATGGCCAGTACTGCTTAATTCCTATGTTCTGTTTTTCTCGAAGCCTTCCTGGCATTCAATAATCAGTTTCTAACAATAAGGAGTGTTTACTTAAGGGTGCAATCTTACTTGATTAGCTATGGTGTATGTTTTCGGGAGAGTCATCTGAATGTTGTTATATCCGTAAGCAATAGCTGCATCTTCTATGATATCACAGGCGTGGATAATGTCAGCTCTGGTTGGAGGGATTTCAATTTCAATCTGATTCCCATCGCCTATGACTTCTGACTTTAAACACATCCTGGTCAGAAGCTTGGCAAGATTTTCTGGAGTTTCTCTGAAATAGGAACGTACAAACCATAAACTTCACTGGATTATTTAAAACATGTTTATATTTTGTTTTAAAATATGCTACTACCTGAAACCTGTCTTTCTGAATTCCAGTGGACACCAGACATCCTAACTGATGTTCTGTTGTCACTTATTACTCTGAAGGGATATCAAAATTCTCTCCAAGCATTTTTTCAGGGAAAATTAAGCAGTCATATGTGTACTTCATTCTTGAATTCTCTTCAACAGTAAATAAATAAATGAAGTTTTCAGAGCATACCTGATCCCAACTTTTTTGTTAATTAGATCAGCTCTCACCATCTCCTTTCGATAAGCCAGTTCCTTAGAGAGAAAAAGAGTTTGAGAAGCTGAAATCAGTCCTGCCAGATACAGCATTAGCCTCTTTCTAATTCAATTCATTATTGTTGTGGTTCCATAACCCTCCCAAGAAGTTGTCATTAGAGCCAGATATCAAAAATAAACTCAGTGCACTTCAGGACATTATCTGCTACATTATATTCATACATGAACATTCTACTTGCTAGACAACTGGAACTGCTTGGAAATATTATAAAATGCCAAACATTTCTTTTACTTGATCAATCACCATTCTCTTCAGCAAAACACTAGTGCATTTTTGCATCATTTCTAAAATGCTTACAAATCCTGCTGAAGATTTTCAATTTCACCTCATGCAAGTAGGTGTTTATGACCAAGAAAGAATAATTCATGTGCCGTATTGTACTATCCATCATACTAAATCTAAGAGTGTTATGAAGTCATTCCTTTCCTATCATTTTTTTCAGGTGGGGAGAAGCAACTATGACCCAGTCCTAGCTATCAATCTGCTCCAGGACAGCCAGGCTGGGAGCATCTCATGAATTAGTCCTCACTCTCCTTCAAACAGTACGTAACTCTACCATGTGAGATAGGAACAAACACACATAAAATCCAGGCTTTTCAGCAACGTTGGAAACATACCTATGAGTATTTCTTATCACAAAATTACTCTCAAAATTGTAACCACCACTAGCAAAAAGGCCATAAATTTAAAAACCTGTTTGGACTCAGGTAAGGACAATGGGCTTGCTATTCAAAATGCAATTCTCAGAGCAGAAGCATCATTATCACCTGTGCAGCCACCACCATGTAAAGAAGCCCAAGCTAGCCTGCTGGATGAGAGGCACTTGACCTGTTCACCTCATTGCCAAGACGCAGACATGTCAGTGAGGCCATCCCAGGTCATCCAGCTGCTAGCCTACCAACCAGCTGGAGCCTAGCAGAGATTAGCCCAGCCAGTCCTGAGCAGAACTACCCAGCTGACCCCCAGAATCATGATATAAACAAACGATCGTTGTTTGAAGTTAGTAAACCTTGGGGTGGTTTGTTACATAACAAAAGCTAACTGATAACAGCAACTACAATCAATTAAAAAAAAAAACTGCTATTGGGACTTCCCTGGTGGTCCAGTGGTTTGGAGGGCTGACTAACCTTAAAAGGGGTGAGACTATAAATTACCTAGGTACCTAGTTAATAAGGGAATAAACCACAGGCATTACAGCCATATAATGCTGTGGTATAATGTAGTGGGTTGGGAGTGAAATGTGGTATAATACAGTGTGTTGGGACTGCCTGGGCTTAAATCCTAGCTCCACCACTGAATAGTAATAGGCAAGCTATTTAACATCTCAAGGTCAAGGGCCTAATGATAGCACCCAGCCTCAGAGGGTTAATGTGAGGATTAAATCCATGGAATACACACAGTATAGTGCCTGGCATGTAGGTGGGTGGATGCACAGATAGACAGAAAGACCAAAAGCACTCTACAGCAATTATTATTAATGTTACTGCTGTTGTCAAAGTCATCATCAAGTCACTTCTTCTATACTCACTGGAAAGGTATGTAATTTTCCATTAGGAAAAACTACCTCAGCTGCTTCAACCCTGAAAACAAAAATAAAGCCAGAAATAAAATTAAATATAAATAAAAATAAAACTTAAGGGGAAAAAAGGGCCATAAATTCTAAAAATGTGTGTGGTTAACAAAACTTTCACTTGGTCTACAACTGCAGCCTCAACACATTCAACCTATTCACATTCCAACACTGCTGTCTGGATTAATCCTCCCATACACAACATTACTATTCCATTTCCTGTGGCTCCCATGTCTCTTCAGGCAGCACCCACTTGATAAGTTTATCTCCCAGTCCTGCAAAGCATGCATCCTTGATGAACACCTTGCCAATACTGACACACACATTCCAGGCTTTACCAGGGTCACGCCGTTACACAATGAAAGCTGACTGACACAAACACTAAAATGCAAATCAATTAAAAAAAATAACCAACACTCCCCATACAATTTCAGTCATGCTTTCTACAGTTATACATTTATTTTGAATTATAATACTCTAGAATAAACTATGATGCTAGTACACAGTAAGGGCCATATAGGTTTGATAAGCAGTTTTTTAAATAAAAAATTAGCTTTGGAACAAATACAGTAGTCTTATTAGTATACACAGGATACATGCTTCGTTCTTATATATGATTCTCTATCTTTGTTTAGCTGTTCCTTCTGCTGTTTCTCCATGTTCAGTCTCAAATCCTTAAATACAGCTTAAATTTCATTGCCTCCATGAAGTCTACCCAGATTGCCCCAGCTAGCAGTAACCTGCCCTTACAAACGGCCAGAACATCACTGAAACTTTTTAAGGTACTTATCACTTTTTACTTTATACATTACTTGTTCATGTCTTAGCTCCCCAAAGAGATTATATATTCTAGTTACAGGAACCACATATTTCATCTTTATATTTAGCACAAGGCCTTAGTGCTCTGACTTCAGAACAACAGGCCATCATCGATAAAGATGCCGAACGAACTTACGTAAATTGATTCTCACAATATTCACTGAACGTGGTAACAATGATATCAAGAACTATTTTTGCCTGCAAAGGAAAAAAACAAATATTATGGTAATCCATAAATATACTTTCTTCCATCAGCTGGAAATGAATTAATATAATTTAGTCTCCAAACATCTAAAACTGTATCTGTATATATAAATTTTAAAGAAAGAAGTGGAGTAAAAACTCTTGAGCTTGAGAGGCCCTGACCTTATCTTCAGGTGTTCTGCATTTATGCGGTTCTCTGACAGTCACAATCCATGACTGAGACAAATCATCTATTTCCCCACCCCCTCCCTTGGGCTGAGCAAATTTCAAGAAAGACAGATGGCTAACTATGGCAGTAAACCTTATCAGTCTCGTAAGTTTCTGCAGCCAGATGCCAGACTCCTGGCCCAAGCGCTTACTAGCAGTCTGATTTTGCGCGTGTCACTTAATTAGTGTCTTTGTACCTTTGTTTGTTAAGTAGAGATAATAAAAGTTCCTACCTCATTTGGTTAATACAAGGATTAAGAGTATGAAAGTGTGTGTGTATAAAACACATAGAGCAATGCCTGGTACACAGTGAAGGCCATATAGATTTGTTAACTTTTTTTTTTAATTTAAAGAAAAAAATACAGTAACCTTATTGGGATATATGCTTTGCTTTTACATATACTTCACTCATATACAAGCTTCAGAAAAGATATCCAAGGTCTGCTAATGTGCAAATTTTAAAAAAGTTTTTAACAGGAAAAGCTATATTACCCTGACAATATTTCTGAAGGCACATATGGTATATAAAAGTTATAAATGAAATATCTTACAAGGATCTCCAATCCTGTAAGATGTATGTGAATGCCATTTATCTGCCCTACTTCTATACTCCAGCCTTCTGCCATTCAAGTTTACCTTTCTTAATTTGCTTAATTGCCACCTCACTCTATGGCTTACTTAAACTTTGTAAAGAAAAAATATGCCATAAAAAAAAGCTTTCATAACAATCCAATATAATAGTGACGAAAAGTGACTGAAAGATTAGTATTCTACATATTCTAGACATCTTTGTGTGTATAAACCCTTTATCAATTTGCTAAATAAAACTTGATAGCCAGTCGGTTTTAACTTTTTTTTTAATCAAGTACACGAAGGTATGAAATTAGTTAGCATTCAAACTAAGCCAACTAAGGTGAACACTTTATACAGATGGCATTACAATGTATACCCCGTTCTCTGTTTTACAGTAATGTATTTGGCTAATTCTCTCACAAGATGACAAGTTCCTTGAAGTCAAGAACATGTAACTCATTATTAAATTCATGGCACTGGAAAGATAGTAGGTGCTCACTAAACATTTGTCAACTGAATGAAAGCACCTTAACCAAAGTACAGAATAGCTAAATCTTTCCAATTTTCTAAATGGCTAAAGTATGTCCCCACCTACAAAATAAACATATTTTAAAGTTTAGCCACATGGTCTTGGCCCAGAAGTAAAAATCTACCCTGACAGTGCAAAAACGGAAAAAAAGTTTTATTTACCTTAGTAAAGTCAGTCCCTGTGCATTCAATAAATATATTTCTAGTATTTACTGTTATTTTGGAATGATGTCCTGCAACAAACACAAAACAATAATGACAAAACAGTTAGTTTCAGAAATAAAAGTGCACGAAAAAGCTCTACAAAACAGAAACTACATTTTAGTTTAGAACATAATATAAGCTGACACCTCAGAGGTAAGGAGATATACAACTTTTATTCTAAGCTCCCATTATAAGCTGGAGAATAAAGATAAAATAAAAACAAGGCTTTATGAGTGCATTCCATATGTAAGGTGCTTAACAGCAGTTGTCTCATCTCATTTTCACCATGATCTATGACAGGGCTGCAGGCAGGACAACTAAGATTCAGAGATTAAGCTCACTGAACATGATCACAGCTATTAAGCGGCAAGGCTAAGATTTGGGTTTGGATCTGGCTCACCCCGAAGCCCACTGTAAGTACTAGAGTCCAAGATCTTGAGGAAGAAAAGATTCTCCTTCCCATCATGAATCAACTGAACCCCCTTCTAACCTCCAGAAGGGCAAACATCTATGGCTCTGACATCACTAAATTTTGTAAATATGTTCAATTTGCTTCTTCAACAAAAGCTTCAGAAAGGAGTTAAGAGGGTAAAATTCAGTTTTAAAATTTTAACTATAAAACAGCAGGCCAGACAGAATTTGACTTTAAGTTTAACTAAATGAATTACCTGCTAAAACCACAATATCAACACTCTTTGGAGGAATATAACAGAACCCAGAGACTAGCACCAGAAAATATTTATAAACTTATAAATATGTATACATTTATAAATTACATAAAAATCACCAGTAAAATATTGAAAAATGAATGAAAAGAACTATTACAATAAAATCCACAAAAGACCTGGGATTCTCAGATTGAGTCATCTGACTGATTCAGTCAAGTCTACTGAGAATTCCACAGAAATGATAAAGAATAAGAAGGAAACAGCAAAAAACCTATGGTGCTTAAGAAATAACTCACCATTGATGACTGGAGGCATTGAAAGGACGACACCATTGCTATCATAGATAACCGGATACAGAGGTTTATTTTCAATTATATGTAAATAATGTTTAAGGTGGTTGTCAGTCTGAAAAAAAAATTAAGTCAAACAACATTTCTGTCACTGTAATTAGTTTACATACCTACCTAGCATAAAAAGGGGGGGGAAAATCAGAAAAACAATAAAACAGCCCCCAAAGTTTTAAATGTATAATATTTTCTAATGTAAATTAATATCTCAGAATCCTTATACAGCCTCATTTCCTACTGGGGAAAGATAAGACCGCAATCGTTTTTCAAGACTGAAAACAGACTTGCAGAGTAAGCCTGAATCACCTTAAGCAAAACACAAACCATACAAAACTATTTAGATAAATAGGAAGAAATCACTTGCAAATCAGGTCAATGATAATAGCTGCTTTTTCCAAATGATACCCACCTCTTTTACTATTTGTTAAATGCAATTTAAAGTGACTACTGAGTTCATTTTCACTGCTGGATTCTAAAGTGCTAATCACGGGAGGCAGATGCTTTTTAATAGTGCATGCTACAAAAAAACTAGCTAAATCTCATTGTTCCTTATATTTGAATGAGTTTTAGTTATACCTAAATGTGAATATTACAATGCGGTATGACCTACTTCAGTGGTTCTCAATCCTGGCTGTACGTTAAAAACATCTGAGAGGATAAAAAAGTAGTAACAGGGCTTCCCTGGTGGCACAGTGGTTGAGTCCGCCTGTCAATGCAGGGGACATGGGTTCGATCCCTGGCCCGGGAAGATCCCACGTGCCGCAGAGCAACTAAGCCTGTGTGCCACAACTACTGAGCCTGTGCTCTAGAGCCCACGAGCCACAACTACTGAGCCTATGTGCCACAACTACTGAAGCCCACATGCCTAGAGCCCGTGGTCCACAAGAGAAGCCACGACAATGAGAAGCCCAAGCACTGCAACAAAGAGTAGCCCCCGCTCACCACAACTAGAAAAGCCTGCGCACAGCAACGAAGATCCAACACAGCCATACATACATACATACATACCTAAATAAAAGTAATAATAAACAAAACTATGCCCAGACCTCACTCTAGATCAAAGGAATCAGTATCTCTGGGTTGGAGCCCAGACACTGCTATTTTTTCAAGCACTCATTTTATTGTCCTAATTAAGACTTGATTTGGGAGGAATTTCATGCTTTATCCAGAGCTATTACATTAACATAAAAGAACATTTACCTTGTATATGTTCATCAGTTCACAGGCTGTATACTCCTTGGTCTTATTTAGAGGCTTGAATTTGATATCGGAAGGTTTCTTCGCAGTATAAGTAAATGGGCCTGACAAAGTGTCCAAGTCATGGGTACCAATAGCAACCAAGGCTCTTTTCCTAAATGTGGAGACAGAGAGAAAGAGAAACAGAAAACGATTTGAATATCTCAAAGCAGAATTTCTAAAGATAACAGAGTACAGGGTTTTTGTTTTTAGACACTTCCTTAAAATAGCCTGTTACTACTATATAGCACCTTCACAACCATTAAAAATTATGAGAAATATAAATATAAAGCTACTTAAAACACATTATTTCAGCAGCCGAAGTAAATCCCTTCCACTATGTTTTCCCTAGTACTATGTTATTAGGACGTTTTCAAAGTCAACATACCCTTTTACCTTCTTTTAATCTATTTCCTCTAGTGTCCTCAAGTAAACATAAATCTTATTAAATTAGAATAAACTACCAAAACACTCCTGTGTTTTTTGTCTTTTCCATATTTTCCTAAATTTCCTGTCACATAGCTATATTGCTTTATTAATGGAAATTATTTAGCTTTAAAAACTGTGAATTATATTTAAAATTTAATATGTAAGGAAATTTCAAGAGCTATTAATTTCATTTGTTCTACAGTTTATCTGTAAAGGATTTAAGGTAATTTTAGGAACTTAAAGCAAGATACAAAGTAGGAGACAAATAAACAGAAGTAGGGATATAAAACGAAGCCAGAAACAATGTTGATTAGTACTAAATTAGAATTTCAAAGCTTACAGTCTTATCATAGAGGGTCACAAATTTGGCTCTAAGCTTTCCAAAAGACAATTCAAAAGAGAAACCTGGTCAGAATTTATGATGTTCTAAAGAATTCTTAAAGACTATGTGTACATATATTAGAATATGTATGCATAACCACAATTAAATATCAAATGGAGGGCTTCCCTGGTGGCGCAGTGGTTGAGAGTCCGCCTGCCGATGCAGGGGACACGGGTTCGTGCCCCGGTCCGGGAAGATCCCACATGCCGCGGAGCGGCTGGGCCCGTAAGCCATGGCTGCTGAGCCTGCGCGTCCAGAGCCTGTGCTCCGCAACGGGAGAGGCCACAACAGCGAGAGGCCCGCGTACCGCAAAAAAAAAGAAAAAAATCAAATGGATAAAATCATTAGTAATCAAGGAATGTGTTAAAGTCCATATTACATGAACCATGACATAGTTTTTAAAATCTGTAAGAAACAAATTTTGGTCAACCTCAAATTAACACAACATTGTAAACCAACTATACTGAATAAAATTAATTAAAAAAAATTTTTTTTCGTCAAACTCCAAGACAGGTGACTAGAACTTTAATAAATATGGGTAAACTGAAGAGTTGTTGACAAGCCTAAAGGAAGTGTTACTTTACTCAATGAGTTACATGTTTATATACTAGCATAGGTAGAAATATACATGGTTAAGTTTAGATAAATTAATAATTAACAAATTCATAGGTAAGAAAGTCCATGTTTTCTTGGACATTAATATTGGTTTCTTAATCCTGAAACAGCACCTCAAAATGTCACTAAATTTCAACTTCAAACCAATCACAAAAAACAAATTCCAGATTAATCAAAGAGCTATGCATTTTGAAAAACAAAAGGCAAACATACACACACACACACACACACACACACACGGAACCATAAAAATTATTCAAAGAAAATATAGGAGAACAATGCTTAAAACTGTGGAGTAGAATATCCCTTAAGACACAAAACATAAAAGTCATATAGGAAGACTGGCAAACTTGACTATATCCAAACTGTAAACTTTATACAACCAAAAGCCCCAAAAGTCAAAAGACACACTGAGAGAAAAGGTCTACAACGTAGGTACAGAAAAAGGATTAATATCCCAAATATAAAAAGATATGAAAACAAAAAGTAGTCAAAAATCAAGATTTTACCTATTCTACTGGCAGAAATTTTATTAAAGTCTTGCTGTGAAAAAGCAGCAGCTCAAAGAACTGGGCAGAAAATTCTGCTGCTGCCAACTGCAGAGGTCTCATCTAGCCAAATGTTTCGAGTGTGAGTCAGGCTAAGTATGCAAGACTCTTTGCCTGCAACAGAAACCACTTCTCAGAGAAAAAGAGCAAAATAAGAGCCTCTTACATAACAAAATATTCTGTATGCAATGAAAAAGCAGTGCATATGAAAACAGAGAAACATGACATACTCCACACAAACCAACCCATAAAAACCAATGCTAAGATGACCCAGATTTTCAAGTCACCACACAGATTTTTAAAACGTTACTACTACAAAAACCACTACAAAAAGCATTCAAGAATTATGTGGAAAATATACACATAATGAACAGACAGGGAAATAACAGACAAAAAAAAAAGAAACTTTTTAAAAAGGAACCAAACAGATTCTATAGAGATGAACACTAAAGTAACTGAAGTAAAAAGTTCACTGGACCCTTCCAGCCAAGATGGAGTAACAAAGACTAGATTTACTCTCTTGCCTGATACAATCACAAAAAAAGGCAAAACATATAAGACAACAGTTTTCATGGCTGGCACTGGAGGTCAGGCTATGAAGGGCAGATGACAAACAGGAAACAGATAAGGTGAGCCCTACGGCGGCCCAGCTGACTGCCTGGAAGGGTTTCAAGCCACAGGGCAGGAAACGGGGTCCGGCTAGAGCCCAGTGGACTCCCTAAGTTGAGGAGACACAGCTGAGAGTCTAGGGAGATCACGACGGCCAGAGTTCACTGCACAGAGTACTGGGGAGGACAGAGCTACTCAGACAGAGAACTCTGGTATCTGCAGAGGGGCCCCCTCAAGAATTCAGCTGAGTATTAATCAGTGTGTGCATGTGAGGAAACCAGCCAAGGCCAGGGAAAGAACCATCCAAGGCAACAGTGCTCACACAGACTGAAAACCTCACTTTTCATATGGCAATGCATATATAGGAACAAAGTCTTGCCTCAGTAGTAAGGACTAACTAGCCCTAGAGAGAACACTGCATGATCGATGAAAACAGAAAAATAGAGGAAAAAAGCAGAGAAAAGTCAATGAAAGCAAAACCTCGTTCTCTAAAAACTGATACACAATGATACTCACTGAAGTAATTGATGTGTACACTGATCTCTAGCCACACTGATCAAGGGGAAAAAGAGAGAAGACAGGAATGAAAGAGGTGATACTGATACAGATACTACAGATATTAAAGGATAATAAGGGAAGATCATAAACAACTTTTATGCCAGTAAATTTTATAATTTAAATGAAATAAATATATCTCTTGAAAAACGCAAATTAGGATTTACTGACTCTGGCACACCAGAGTATTAGGATGTGATTTATTCTCCCTTTAGAAAAAGCTCATGATTTCCAGAGATACTGTATAAAACAGAGCTTAAAGTCGAATTAAGGAAATGCTTTCCAATATAGATAAAAATTAGATTCTTCAAATGACCAGAACAGATAACTGGGCTCAAGCACGTCCTAGCTATATCAGTGCTTGTCAGAAATCCTCTATCTTGTCCTATATTTTGAAACTATATTTAAATTCTTATTGTTTTGCTCAAGAATAACATATCTGTAAGATGACAAATAGATTATTTTTATAAAAGAACTTGGAATAAATGTTACTCAGAATCTGAGAAGAAGTTTCTTCTACGATGTATGCAAAAATGTTTCAAGAAAAAGAAACCTCATGAGCTTAACCACAGGTATTTTATTTTTTCAATATTTTTCACACCAGAAGAAAACGCCCAAGGTCCCCCCAACCCTGTCTCTAGACCACCCTTACACAAAAGCCTCTTCTAGTTTCCACAGTTTACCAAATTGCAACTACTGCAATTATTAAAATATAAAAATTATTTTTTTCCATTTTTACTCAAGACATATATAACTGTTAATCATATCTTTGACTAGCATGAGATAACTTACGTTTATATATTTTAGTACCAACACAAAAAAAACTTGGTATGTTAGCTAAAGGCTGCCATTTCTTATCATCAGTAAATATATATTTTCTATTAGGATTTTTGAAATATTGAAATTAGCTGAAGGACTCCCATTGTTACCTTCCTCAACCTTTAGGAGTTCAGCAATTATATAGGTTTGAAGATCGCCACACTAAAGGGAGCTGTATGGGAAATGATGTGTAGCAATGCCAACGACAGAATAAGAAAATTCAGTTATGTAAAAGTCTCAAGTTTCACCTGTCAATTTATAATTATATTCACTCAAAAAATGAGATCACGGCTTCCCTAGTGGTGTAGTGGTTGAGAGTCCGCCTGCTGATGCAGGGGACACGGGTTCGTGCCCTGGTCCGGGAAGATCCCACGTGCCGCAGAGCGGCTGGGCCCGTGAGCCATGGCCGCTGAGCCTGCGCGTCCGGAGCCTGTGCTCCGCAACGGGAGAGGCCACAGCAGTGAGAGGCCCGCGTGTGGCAAAAAAAAAAAAAAAAAAAAAAAGAGATCAAGCCAAAAACTTTTGTCTATTTTTAAAATAAGTCATACTTCAAATTACCATGGTTTAATATTTAGTAGTATAATCCACTGTTAATGATTTGAACCAAAAAACAAAAACCAAGAAAATGTCTAGGACTAGATATTTCTTCTCTATACAGTACTCAAAATATATCTCTTATTTCTCCATGGATACACTATCTATAAGCAGTAACAAAGAGCTGTTTGGTGAAATTTAAACTTATTTAAATTTAAATTTAGTTAACTTTAAACTCTTGTTACTCCCACATATGATTAATTTAGAAATGCTGTGAAAAAAGTCTACAGTGGAGGAAGAAAGAAAAGAGCGGGGGAAAGAGGAAGAGAAAAGGGAAGGGGAGGAAAGGAGGAGGGAGAGGAAGGAGGAAGGAGAGCAGGAGGCAAGGAAGAAAGAAGATGCGACCACAAACCTGCAAATGTTCTGATGTAACTTCTCCTGAAGTTCAATGAAGCTTTCATATCGATCTTTAGTAAACTTTATGTTTCGGAGAACTGCTGCAACAGCATACGGGCGTATTTTAGCTGTCTGAAATTCGTTATATCATTAGAGATGGTAAATATTAAGGCTTTTCTTTGTAATTTCATCTTGTAATAGAAAGTTTTATTCAAACAAGTGTACATTCATTCATTCAGTCAACAGTAAGATATAGTGGTGATAAGAGACAAAGTCACTGTCCTCATGCAATTTACATTTCAGCAAGACCTCTGAAAATTTACTGAATTACTGAGAAAAAAATTAACCCTTAAGTAGTTTGCTCGTAGTTAATATTTCTATTAGTCTTTCCCCAAAAGATTTTTTCTAAATTTTATTAATATCCACAATTTAAACAATTATATCTCAAATGTATTTTAAGCAAACATTTGGATGTTATTTTCCAAAATTATTCATGGAAAACAAATGCTGTGTTCCCTTTCACTTCTTGGTAAAAAACTAAATGACAATTTTTAAGAGCTAGAGGCTAAATATACATCCATTTTAGCAAGTGATCAAAGAAAACTACATTTGGCAGAAGGGTCACCTTTGTCCCACCTTATAGAGATATACACAAAAGAGATGTTTTTAAAAGAAAAATAAGAATGGATCCTTATTACCTCTTCTGTGATGATCAATTTCTGGATTTCTCCATTAGGTATTACCCGTTTATACATTGGAGCCTTTATCCTAAAATATTAAAACAAACTTGCTCATTATTAAGCAAAACATTCGATAAACTAATTTATTCTGTGAACAGATCAACAGAACTAGGACAATGGGTTAAAGTTACAGCAAATCAAATTTGGGCTGAGTATTAAAAAAAAAAAACCTAATAAACTTTCTAACATTTCCAGATGTCTAAAAATGGGCTAGGGGTTTCCCTGGTGGCGCAGTGGTTAAGAATCTGCCTGCCAGTGTAGGGGACATGGGTTCGAGCCCCGGTCCGGGAGGATCCCAAGTGCTGCGGAGCACCTAAGCCCGTGTGCCACAACTACTGAGCCTGCGCTCTAGAGCCCGTGAGCCACAACTACTGAGCCCGTGTGCCTAGAGCCCGTGCTCCGCAACAAGAGAAACCACCGCGATGAGAAGCCCACGCACCACAACGAAGAGCAGCCCCCGCTCACAGCAAGTAGAGAAAGCCCACGTGCAGCACGGGTAATAAATAAATAACGTAAATCTGTTAAAAAAAAAATAAAACAAAAATGGGCTAGGATGCCTCGTGGTAATGCGTGTCATATCACTGGAGTCTCGGCAGAGGCTAGGAAACCTTTAACTAAGCAACTGTATAGGGGGCATTTAAACATCAGCTGAGGGGCTGGATTAAATCACCTTGAAGTTTCATTCCAACCGTGAGAGTTTGAGCTTCTAAGAAAAACAGGGCTTATAACAAATACAGATGGCCTGGTCCCATCTGGACCTAACGAATCAGGATATTCAAGGGAAAGGCCTGGTAAACATTACATTCTGAAGGCAGAGTCCAGGTGACTGTTATCGTCAGAAGAGGGTGGGAACTACTGTTTCAAGTCAGTGCCTTTCAAACCTCAACGTGCCTACAATCAACTGGGGAATTTGTTAAACCACATATTCTGATTCAATAGGTCTTGGGTAGAGGCTGAAATTCTGCAGTTCTAACAAGCTCCCAGGTGTTACAGATGATGCTGGCCCATGGACCACACTTTGAGTAGCAAAGGTTTTAAGTCACTTTCCTAATTCAGTCTCATCATAAAAATCATAAGAGGTGCCTATTAAAAACAGAAATACATATCGGACAGGTTTGGGAAACACACTGTAAGGGCTTATCCCTGACCCTAAAATATAAACATCTGATTGTCATGCAGAGAAGCACCTGGGTCAACCCCCAAATTTTAACCACATTAACCAAATGCCTAATTATCATCCTTTCACCAGCACCCATCACTCATCCGAAGGCCTCACAGTTGCAGAGTCTAGCCCATCAGCCTGAGGCGCTTACTCTTTTGCGACTGACTAGATAATGAATAAGTAATCAAAACCAAAAATAATTATTTTTGATAGCTTTACTGTTTCACCTCTTTTTCACTTCATATGTTCATCATTTTCATGTATTACATGAAGAGCTGGAAGAGGACTTAAAAATATTCTTCATTATAAATTAGGAGACTGAAACTAGAAAAGTCAATTAACTTGCCCACAGCCAACATAAGATCTTCAGTTTTCCAGTTAGGAGGCCCCATTCCCAGCCTCCTCAGAATTCTTAAGAAAACAGCATATAGTTGTGCCCCCTCTACTTTTCTCCCAGCCTTTAACAAACCCAACGAACTATCTACTCCAGTTGGATTACTAAAGAACTCACGTGAACCCATTAAAAAGTTTTTCAAGATGCCATAAAATCATTAACCACTCCAGCTTTAAAATACGCTCCCAAAATGAAAGGCTGTGACTCAATATTCAGGCAAATTTTCAAATGGCTCCAATCTAAAGGCTCCAATCATCCCCTCTATGCAGACCTAAAGCTGTGTACCTGTCCAACGAGTTTTTTTCTAGAAACTTAAAAAGGGTTGCTGATAATGAGAGGCAAAGAAAAAAGAAACCCAACTTAGCCAGGTATTTAATGAACATATTCCCTTACCTTTCTTTGAAGACCTGAAGTCCTCGAACCAATCCTTCCAGACATAGGAGATCATATCTATTGGCAGGGACATCAATTTTGTAGAGAACAACATCAGAGGCCCCCTGTGCCTTTTCATTACCTTGCTCCTTACTTATAATTTCCTTCTCAGATGTCTAAAACAAACCCAAAAGTTAAAATAAATAAATCCAAATTCTTTTGAAAAAGTAGCCCTATAAAGTAGTAACTGCATTATTCATGTTCTTTCCAGAGCAGCAGAAATCTATCTAAAGCAAGGAGTGGGCCAAATCATGCCTGCCGCCTATTTTTGTAAATAAAGTGTTACTGAAACACAGCCAAGCCTATTCATTTACATTTTACCTACTGTTATTTACAAACTGCAACAGCTGAATTGTGACAGAGACTATACAGCCTTCGAAAGCTTGCTATCTGGCAGGAAAAGTTTGCCCATCCTTGATCTAAAAAGAAAATGAAAACACCGAAAAGAACACAGGGCAATAACAACAAAAGTGTCAATGAGACAAAGTAAAGAGAATTCACCAAATAAAAGCTATGTTGGGAATTGCCTGGAGGTCCAGTGGTTAGAACTTTGCGCTTTCACTGCCGAGGGCCTGGGTTCGATCCCTGGTCGGGAAACTAAGATCCCACAAGCCACAGCTCGCGGCCAAACAAAAAAAAGAAAAAAAAAGATTAAAAGATATGCAACTTTTTATAAGATAATGACTCTAAAAAGCTAAATCCTATGGGCACCCAAGCCTACAAGCAACAGGAGAATGAGAGTAATACTATAAAAACAAGCAAAAACATTTGAAGAGGGGACCCTCCCTGGTGGTCCAGTGGCTAAGACTCCATGCTCCCAATGCAGGGGGCCATGGTTCGATCCCTGCGCATGGAACTAGATCCCTCATGTCACAACTAAAGATTCCACGTGCCGCAACTAAGACCATCAGCACAGCCAAATAAATAAATGAATATTAAAAAAAAAACATTTGAAGAGATCATCAGAAGCTTGGTGTAAATTAGAAGGGATTATAGGTATGATGGGAAGCAATCTAATGACAGCAAAAGGTACAGAGCAGCAAGAATGAAAGCAAACGAGGAAAAAGAGAGAAAAATACCACTAGAATAATTTTTAATGCAGTGGCAAAAAGCTTAGACTATCTCAATAACCACACTACAGATTTTCTTAAAAACAACCATTGCCAAGAAGTTAAATTCTGTTCTCTATGTTTACTCCAGCAGGGAACTGTATGTATACTGAAGAAATTTTTAATCAAAATGCTTAAAAGCCATATTCCAACTGTTAATGTTACCCACTAATTATCTGGAATCCCCACTTAACTGGAACTCCTGCTATTTTTACCACCAATAACCTGCTAAAATAACTGATGAATTCCTATCAAAATAAGTGATGATTTTTGTTTTACATGATGCTCTCCCTCTCCCACTGCCAAAATATAAGCAGTTCAAGTTATTGCCCAAAGAATTATAGTCTACACTTGCACAGCATGCAGAAGAATTCACTTCCTGTCAATAAGCACTACGTGCCCGAGCCACACCTGAGGAGTCACAGAGTCCATATGATGCTGGGACTGCGCAGGGCTCACGGCGCTCATTGACTATGGGCTCCAAGGAACACCTCCACTGGCCATCTCAAACTCAGGAGGCAAATTTTTTAAATTAGGGAAAATTTAAAAATAAAAAAAGAAGAGGACGAAGAGGAGGAAGAGGAGGGAGCAGGAAAGGAGAAAAGAAATGGGGGGATGGGGGAGGATATGAGAAGAGGCAGGAGGAGAAATCAGAATTTAAACAGAGTTCAATTAAAGGGGTCAATAAAACTGCTAACATTTTAGTGAAGAAAGATAAGTCACCTCATGCGGGTGCTGGATTTCAGGGGGGACCCATATAAAGAAGGGAAGAAAATGTGGTAACTTGAGAAAAGAGGGCATCCAAACAAAAAAATGGCCTAATTCCTTTACAAAAAAGACGCAGCTGCCTAAGCCTTGTTCCATTTTCAGTATCTCAGTTCATACAAAGATCATATGTGGGGCTTCCCTGGTGGCGCAGTGGTTGAGGGTCTGCCTGCCGATGCAGGGGACACGGGTTCGTGCCCCGGTCCGGGAAGATCCCACGTGCCACGGAGCGCCTGGGCCCATGAGCCATGGCCGCTGAGCCTGCGCATCCGGAGCCTGTGCTCCACAACGGGAGAGGCCACGACAGTAAGAGGCCCGCGTAC